CAATGTCAATGTCATCTTCAAGCGTCAAAAGGAAAAATATCAGAAACATAAGCAAACTCGATTATTACATCCACAAAAGGACAACAAAGTGGACTGTACCTATGTCCAACTCTTCTTCATTGTCAACTCTAATAACTGCATTGCTCTCTCTGCTACTCTCAACATTGTTGTTCCACGGGAAATTAGCCGTTGAAAAAATTTTGGACAGATCCTCGACGGTTTCCTTAGTGCTTTCTGTTTCAGTATCAGTTGTGCGCTTCGATTTAGTCTTGAAGACAGAACCAAACATACCCTGCAACAAACAATATATATACTACATGAATTAGTAGTCACTTGTGTGTTACAGAAAGCTATAGAGTCAATGTTGTGTCACCTTCTTTTCCTTTGGAGAGAATGCAACCCCGGTTGTGATGATGCTTTCGTGACAAGCCGCGTTATCTTTCTTGTAAACTCGGCTCAGGGAATCCACAAGCCTGGAACCAAAGTAGAGACAGTTTCAGACTTTTCAGTTCATCTGTAATGTATGTTAGAGATCTAATCAAACGCGCATCAAGTCTTACCTAAATGTGTCCTTTTGAGGTAAAACTGAGCTAACAATAAGTTCATCATCTCCATTCACCTACAAAGAGAAAATATGATGATCATAAAAAGATCCAGCTCGAGTACGTACTACTTACAGTGTGTATGTTCTGAAGGTTACCATGACTAGATCTCCATCCCAAGATGCAGATATGGTAATCTCTGGTAATGAGTTTGGTTTTGGTGACAAATATGTGAAGCCTCTAATGGAAGTTTGTTTTACCAGGGAGAGCTCTGGCAAAGACCTGAGACAATTCGGAACATCGAAAAGCTTTAGTTTTCGCCGACGGATATGATAAACTAAAGAAAAAGAGAGTGGGATTTCACCTTATCTCAACGGTTCCATCTGAGAAAACAAGTGTAAGACCAACACCAGAGGTTCCACAGAAAGTAGAAGCTGAACAAATGGCTGAAGAACCAAACTTTTTCTTGTGGAGGATCTTCTTCACTCCCTGGACTACGTGAGAGTAGATATATATAGCTTTCTCCGAACAAAGCAAAACCGAAGGCTGCCTAGTTGAAATGTCTTCAACTATGTTCTCCCCGGAAGAATCTTGTTTCCCATCTGCAAATGATGATCATAAGATCATAATGATCTTGATTTTGTTATTACTAAAAAGGGATAGGTGGACCTACCAAGGATCTGCATGAATAGAGCCTTGAATGGTTTTTTAGGCTTAATGATGTTGGTTCCAATCAGATTTCCTGTGTCGCTGTCGAGAGCAAAAACCGATGAGTCTCTCATAGCAACCACTAACACGTTCTTCTCGAAGCCTTGCACATTGCAACTCTCAAATTGCAAGGAGATGATCCCTGGACAGATATCACTAGCAATGTGTTTTGTGTATAACACAGTTGKTTCCTCAATGTCAACCAGAGAAACCTGTAAGTAAAACAAGAATTATGCATCAATTCCTTCAACGAGCGAATCCTACAAGCGGAAGAAGTAAAAGCTTACATGTCCTTGATCTGATCCAATAGCGAGATGTTTCGAGTTTTGGCTTTTCTGAATACATGTTATGGAACCAGTAAGCTTTATGTACTTAACACTTTGAACAATGTGGTTATTCCCTTTCTTTGAGATTCCTGAAAACAGAAATATTGTCAATTTATGAAGACACAAGATATCGAAACCTGAGTAATGCTTCTATATGTCTTAAACATACCTTGGAAAGGGATAAAACTGTTTTCTGTTAAGTATGGCTCAGGTTTGAACCTATAAAGGCGAACCTGCGCAAGGTCAAAATCAATCATAAGCCTCTATTTCGGTGAATTCCACAGTGTATTTTGGGTAAGATACTTTTTACCATTCCATTTTGATCACCAGAAACAAGAAGCCTTGAGTTGCTGTCATAATGCAAAGCTGTCAATGCAGATGTTCCGCGTAAAGATGTATCTTGATCAGTCTGCTAAGAAGCACACCGGTCAGAACTTTAAAAGATCTGCATTCGCCAAAGAAATTAAAAGTCCGTACACTTTTACCTGTTCTTTGAGGAACAAGACAGGAATGAGAAAAGGACAGGTCATGTCCCATACACCAATGGTTCCATCACTATGCCCTGTGATGTAAACATTCTTAACCTTTGTGAAACCAGGAAAATGTGCTGAAGTGCTCGACCGGGAACCTTCCTTTGAAACCGTCTGAGAAGGAAGAAACGGTGCAGCATCTTTCGCTAGCTGAGCATAATCCTCGTCAGTGAGATTCAGCAAATGTGAAGGGTTTGTGAGGAATTTTCCTACTGTGATGCTACTAGAATCTGAAAATGGCAGCTTAATCACAGTTTCCTTTGGGAGAGAAGGAGGTGACTTAGATTGAGATTGAATCAGATACTTCTCGATCATGTAATCATCGTAAGCATACACACGTCCAGACTTTCCAAGAACAAACAGATAATCCTGTTTATTACCATCAGGTATGATCATCTCCATATCAGCACAAGGCTCAGAGACATGAAGTCCCAACTTAACCATCCGAGTTTCGGTTTGCTCGTTAAGTAATACCACCTGCAACAAGTTTGAGGATGATCCAATGACATAAACACGGCTTGCTTTCCCTTCTCCATAAACCCATTTCAGAGAAGCTATCGGTGTTTTCTCGGATTTGTATCTGAGGTTAAGCTTGCAAACCATAGCAGAACTCTCTGGCGGCAAGCTTTCGCCTTTAAAAGGAATGCTCCATATTAGAATATCTCCATTACTATAACCAACTGAAACTCTGCTTCCTGAAGGACAAACCCAACAAGCGCAAGTCGCTTTCTTCGCGTCTTGCTTCACCATCCCGTGTCCTGTTTTTAGAACAGGTTTGCTTTCTTTGATGTCCCATAACGCTATAAACCCGCTTCTAAACACCAGTAGAATCCTGCAATGGAGCAAAAGTGTAAATGACTAAATGGCTTTTCACAAGGAAGTGTTTGATATGTTACCTCTTGCTTTCAGCTGTTGGTTGTGGTAGAATACTCACAACTGAAGTATCATCAGAAGCTTCAACGGGAGAACCTACGCAACAACAAAATGTTTCAAGATAGGCAATTCGATCCAGAGAAACCTTTGTTTTTGGTATTTGGTTAATTACCATTTGATGCTAGGTAAGGTATAGTGTAATCCATTTGTATAACATGATTAGAGTCATGTTCGAACTTCAACACCGATACATTACCAGAAGAATCTCCAATGTAACTGCCAATCCGAATTCAGGCTTGTTTTCATTATCAAGAACTCAAGCAACCATGGAAAATCAAAAACCAAAAGAAGATTGAGAACTGAAGCATACAAGTAAGGGGTATGTTGCATAACCCGGAAAGAAGTTATTTCGCCGTTGAAAACATGAACATGAGAGAGAAGCTTCTTCTCTAAGTCCCATACCTAGTTGAATTTTAACATTTAGACCAACCAAAGCTCAAATGCTACAACTACTTGAGTTGAATCAAGAAATGTCTTTACCTCAATCTGGTTCTTGGCGTTTACATTGAGAAGGATTCCTTGATTCTGAACAAACTGGACAATTCAAACAGCAGAGGAGGAAGAAGTTGTTGGCATTGTAAT